CCATTATTTTGAAGGGTGGGACTTTTTATTCTTTCATGGGAGTGGATGTTGTCAGCAAGACCAGCATTTATTGCTCTTTCCTAATGCCCTTGAGCTGAGTGGTTTGCCAGGATAATTTCAGAGGGGAGTTAGGAGTTAATGATGAATGTTTTGTTGTCACTTGCATTTTACAGTGAATAATACAGTAAAATACAGTGAAAAGCTTCAACAGTCACCACAATCCAGTACCATTTTGAATAGGTTAAGAATAAAAAGGATAAAAGATATAACTGAAAGAGTCCTGAGCCCTCAGCTGGCTCACCAAGGACACCCATACTACCACCCCTCCTCCACTGCCTCGTTGCTGCCTGTGCCGGACCCACTAATGCAGGAATTGCCACTCTTTAGGCACCATCTCTTCGCTGCTGGCTCGTCTTGCTGATGCCAGGTCCCATGCTGAACCTACACTTACCCTGCAAGTGCCTGGCTCCACTGCGTCCAGGAGTCCTGGCTTGGGGCATACCAAGCTGCCTCCGCTACAGCTGCTGCCTCCCCCAAAGCTCGAAGTCCCCACTCTGGGCCTACTGCAACAAGGAATCCTCGGAGCCACTGCCAGACCAGGCCGCTGCCGCTGTCTCACTAAGAGTCCCACTCCGGCTGCCGCCCTCCAAGATATCGCCTTGCCAGCCCTGCCATCTTGAAAGGTCCACTGCCACTGCCATTGCCACCGTCACTCACCACCTCATTTTGGGTCTGAAGTCACATGTAGGCCAGACCAGGTAAAGGTGGCAGATTCCCTTCCCTAAAGAACATCAGTGAATCCGATCACTACCAAACTCCCTCTCAGATATTAAATCTAGAAAGAAGCTGTGGTATGGCTTGGCTCATTTGGCAGCCCCATCACCCGATTCAGAAGATTTCAAATGCCTTTGTAGGATTTGAGGAATCTGGGAGGAAAATTGTAATATAGCATTGACAGGTGCTATATTATCAGAGTGTTGACTTTTGAGTGATCCCAATGGTTTATTTTTATCATGGATACACAAGCACAAGGAAATGAAATGCGGTCCCACCTGGCTGTTCAGGCGTTTGCAGAAGATAACATGGTATATTTTGGAGAAGAGCAGGAGGTTTTCGTGGTATTGGGCTCCGAATTCTTGTCTCAACTAATAACATATTTTTAAAAAATCGGACTTAACTGTTCATTCGTCTCCTTTGGTTTTCATGGGAATTTGTCATGCACAAATTAGCTGCTGCATTGAGTTACTTAATAACAGTCTTTTTACATTTTTAGCAAATCTGAAGTTGGGATAGGTCATAACTTCTTTCTTCAAGATAAGGCCTTTATTTCAAAGGGAAAGGAATATAAAAGTAGGGGAGTTTGGCTAAGAAGCCACGGGTCAGACAAAAGTTGGAGTACTGTGAACAGTTCTGGTCCCTTTATGTTATGAAAGATACACCAGCATTGGAGGCAGTCCAGAGAAGCTTTGTTAGGTTAATCCCAAGTATGGAAACATTTCGTTGATGAGGAAAGGTTGAGAAGGTTGGGCCTGTTCTTATTAGCATTTAGGAGAATGAGAGGACACCTTAAGGGGCTTGACAGGGTAGATCCAGAGAACGTTGTTTCCTTATGTCGGAGAGTCTAGGAGATCGCAATCTGAGAACAACGATTCAGCCATTTTATACAGAGATGAGGAGGAATTTTTTTTTGAGGGTGGTGAATCTGTGAAATTCTTCACTGCAGAGGGCGATTAAGGCTGAGTCATTAGATATGTTCAAGGTTAAAAAAGATGGATTTTTTTCATTAGTAAGGGAATTAAGGTTATAGGAAAGTACAGGGAAGTGGAATTGAGGATGATCAGATCAGACATGATGCCAAAAGTAGAGCAAACTCGATCAGCTATATGGCCTACTTCACCAGTATTTCATGGTCTTATCATTGCAGAAAAATTGTCAGCCATTATGCACACAGTTCTGCTAACATAAGCAAAAAGGAGACTGTAAAGGAGAACGTACACTTGTAGGAACTGCAGTTAGAGCACTGTGAAAATGGTCCTCAAAAAATCTGAAATTGTGACAGATCTGTATATCTACAATGTAGTCTTCACTCGATACACTGAAATGATATGAGGAAAGGGATGTGGTCAGCGTTTATGGCAGAGAGACAGATAAATAGGTTTTTTTACACCTCTTCCTGTCTCTACAAGAGAATTCATTTCCTCTGAAGATTGTCTGTCTTTTGTTTGCATTTCAACAAGATTTGTTGCTTATCTTTAAAAGTAATTCTATAAGTATGTTGTTTCAGCATGCTACATTAAACTTGGAAATAGTGTATTCTGCTTTGGAAAGGAATTGCTTGTTATTCATTTTTATAATCTTTCTTTCCTCCTAATTTCCTTCCAATTCTACTTATGTGCGCAATGTTACCTAGAGTTCACAACACTGAAATAGGCCATTCAGCCCAATCGGACTATATCATCGTTTACATTTCTCTCACACTAATTCATCTAATTTTTTCAACATTTTTTTTCAGCCCTTTCTCTCTCATGTCCTTTCTTTATTGCTTTTAAATGTATCTATGCTAGTTGTTAAAACTATTCTATGTTCCACACTCTAATTGTTCTTGGGATAAAGAAGTTTCTACTGAATTCTTATTAGGATAATTAGTGACTACGTTATATTTGTGACCCTAGTTTTGAGCTTTGTACCAAGTGTAAATATCTTCGTCTCTTAACCCCTTAATGCACCATAATGTCCAAGACTCTCATATTAAATGGATTCTCACTTTAACAGACAGGGGTAAACCCCTTATGATGTCCTCCAGGTATTTTATGTTTTCTGAAAATCAGTTAAACAAATTAATCAAAATAAGTGAATACCGTGTATTTCCTGTCCATCATGCATTTTTATCATGTCTCTGAAGTGATACTTTCTTCCCCAAAAACACTACATAAATACAAGTGATTTTTGAGATGGCACACTTTGTTTATATAATGTTTACATAATGTTTACATCTTTAATGATATTCTTTTGACCCAAAGGCAGACGGCGTGATTTTTTTCCCCCCTTGAGGTGGTGAGAAGGAAAAATAATTAGGTGGGTTGGCCCTGAAGTGAAGCTCCCCTCCTTGCTCCCTCAGCAATTAAATCTGAGCAAGAACGTCCCTGGGCCACCTCATGACTGCCAATGATTAAGGGCCTTCAAAGGTCAATTAATTGCTGCTTCAGCACCTCAATATGTGACCTCCCTGATTATCTGCTTTTCTATGGAAACCATGGCGACCTGCTGGCCAAGTAGGGGATGGGGAAGAATTGGAGATCCGTCCCCTCCCTCTCTCTGGAATCCCCATGCATGACAAGGGGATAAAAATGGCACCTCCTTGACACAGGCTGTTCTCCTCAATCTGAGTTTAGGGTGTTTTTGGCCTGCAACAGCCTGAGAAACTGGCCCACGCTCGTTTATCAGCTCCTAGAGTGCTGATTGGCAGGCATTTGGGCTGGTTTGCTCATCAAGGGCGAGTGCATGTCTCCATACTTCAAAACAATATAGGAAATTTCCACCAACAATGAATAAGCTTGAGAAACACTTCTACATGTAAAGAGAGCAATTACAGTCTAATCTGTTACTGTACAATCTTCCAGTCACAAGATATTGCATTCTGCATTATATAGAATGGTGCATCCTTTGACTTACCATGACCAGTATTATAGATTGTTTTGGTAAATGTTAAAACAGGACATCAATGCATATAAATGTCACATGGTAGGTTAAAATGATCTTGTTTTTTCCAAAACCTAGATATCGGTTTTATGTTGGTGGTTTCAAAATTCAGCGAGACCACGTGGCACAATTTAAAAACAGGGGCAATGGCACTTGAAACCAAGATGAATTTGTTTTCTTACTCCAGAGGGTTGTGAATCTTGGAGCCTAGTCTTTGTGTATACTTGAGTTAGAGATTGATAGCTTTCTGTTTACCAGTGTTAGTGTGAGTAAAAGGCATTGAAATGTTCTGTCAGCCATAATCATATGAAATGGCAGGTCGGGCTCAATAGCTTATTTCTGTTCGTATGATGCATGCTGTAACTTCATAGAATCCCTACACTCTGGAAACCGGCCATTTGGCCCATCAAGTCCACACTGACCCTCCAAAGAGCACCCTACCTGGTCTGACCCACCTAGCCTGCACATCCCTGGACACAATGGGCAATTTAGTATGGCCAGTCCACCTAACCTGCACATCTTTGGACTGTGGGAGGAAACCAGAGCATCCTGAGGAAACCTGCACAGATCATGGGGAGAACGTGTTAACTCCACATAGTCCCCCAAGGCTGGAATTGAACCTCGGTCCCTGGGCTATGGAGCAGCATTACTTACCACTGAGCCATCATGTCGCCCTGTAATGTTTAGTTGAAAAGAGATTTATCTCAGCTGATAGACTACAAAGGTAGTTCCAAGCTGTATAGAGCTGGAAGATTGTGGAATAAAAACAGAGTGCTGGAGAAACTCAGCAAATCAGGTAACATCTGTGGAGAGAGAAACAGATGCTGTCTGACCTTGCATTTCTCCAGCACTTTCTATTTTTATTTGATTTCCAGCATCTGCAGTACTTTGCTTTTATTCGCAAGATCATGTCATTGATCTTTGACTTATACTGAGTGTGCTGATTTTAGCCAAGAAAATGTAGGAGGCCTCGCTACTTCATATCCTTTGGTTAATGGAAAACTATTGGCCTGTGTTTCTATTCCCAATTGCTGGAAAAGGTATGTATTTATATTTTCACAACAATTGCTACCACATACAGTCTCAGAAAAAAATGTTGATTATGGTACAGGGACTGTCTGCAATAATGGCATCATTATCCCAACAGTAGGTTTCTTTGCATTTATCCATGTCAAGGTGCTCCCACTTTTGAAACATCTTCCATAGACAAGCCGTTATTAACTGAATAAATAGTTTTCAAATAAACTAATGTCAAAATAACATGCATTCTTTTGTGGTGATAACTTTCCTGTTTCTTTTAGGTCAAGAGGATTATGACAGGCTCCGTCCACTATCCTACCAAGATACAAACATCTTCTTAATCTGTTATGACGTCACAAACCCCACAAGTTTTGATAATGTCCGTATTAAGGTGAGGAAGCAAATCATGTTTTCTATTTTCATCAGAAGCAAAATCATAGTAGTTACTGCTCATTTGCTTTAGCATATATCTGTAATTAATAATTGACCCTAATCACCTTTGCTGGGTGAATAATTTTTAAACTTCTTGGTAGCCCAACACAGAATATCATAGAGTCATACAGCATAGAGACAGACCCTTCGGTCTAGCTTTTCCATGTCAACCAAAGTTTCCCAAACTAAACAAGTCCCATTTGCTTACATTTGGCCCATATCCCACGAAACCTTTCCTATTCATGTACCTGTCCAAATGTCTTCGAAATATTGTACCTGCATCTACCACTTCCTCTGGCAGTTCATTACAAATACAAACCACCCTCTGTGTGAAAAAGTTGCATCTCGGGTCTTTTTTAAGTATTTCTCGTCTCACCAAAAATCATGCTGTCTAGTTTTGAACTCCCCAACCCTAGGGAAAAGACCTTTGCTATTCCCCTAATCTAAGCCTCTCATGATTTTAGAAACCTCTATAAGGTCTCCCCTCAACCTTCCATGCTCCAGTGAAAGAAGTCCCATCCTATCTACCCTCTCCATATAACTCAAACCCGCCAGTCCTGGTAACATCCTTGTGAATCTTTCCTGCACCCTCTCCAATTTAATAATATCCTTCTCATAGCAGGGTGACCAGAACTGTACACAGTACTCCAAAAGTGTCCTCACCAATGTCCTGTACAACTGCAACATGACGTCCCAACTCCTAAACTCAATGGTCTGAGCAATGAAGGCAAGTGTGCCGAATGCCTCCTTCACTACCCTCTCTATCTGTGATGGAACTTTCAAGGAACAATGAACCTGAAGCCCTAGGTCTCTCTGTTCTACAATACTCGCCAGGGTCCCCCATTTATTTTGTAAGTTCTGTCCTTGTTTATCTTAACAAAATGCAACACCTTATATTTATCTAAATTAAACTTCATCTGCCACTCCTTAGCCCATTGCCCCAATTGATCAAGATCCCTTTGTAATCTTAGATAACCATAAATATAATGGTTGGAGGGGGGGAGTCATTCTTCTGTCTGCTAATAGCACTTTCCATCCACGTGCAAGGGGACCGTAGTGTGGGGATGTGCCTCACCTGGGCTTAGCATTTGCCTATAATGCCAAAGGCAAAATTAGGAGAAATATTTTGGATATAAAGCTTCCTCTGAATTTATGTAATGCAGTGCATAATAGTTCCATACTGCAATGCCTGATTTTATAGAATTTCACCAGTTTGGCAAAAAAGCCAAGAATTTTCTGACTGTTGCACTCCCAGTACAATCGTGAACAGCAAAAATATGGTAATTCCACAGCCCTGTACAGTATTTTTTGCCTAACTTGCCCATCTATTAGTCACTGACCTTCCACTTCCTTCGTAGACGACATTCACTCACTGGCTATTAAATTCTTCCTTGCCCGAAGAATCTTGTATCTTACCCAAAACCTGAAGTCTGTGTCACCGAGTCCTTGAAACTTCAGGTTTTTGAGAAATCTACCTTGACTAAACCAGTCATAACCTTGTACCCCTTTTCCAGATCTCTGTGCAACTTTCTTTGCTGCATGGTAAGCAGTCCCAGTTTCTCCAATCTAACTTTGTGGATAAATTCCCTCATCCCTGGAAACATTTTGGCCAATCTCCTCTGCACTAACTTCCTGTATTGAGTTTACTTGATAATTAATGTGCAAGTGTAGCTATTTTTATTGAAACTCTGAAAGGATGAGAGAGTGCTGCCATTTTCATAAGGCTAATGGCAACTTGTCACAAATTGTAGTGAATCACAATTTATGAAGTATCCTTTCATTTCCACTAGTTTCTATTTACACATTAATCATGGTAAACATTGTTAAATCTACTGTTATTTTGGCAGGAAATGCTGGACTGTTGGTCCTTATCAAAGTGATAAATAAAAGCCACTGAAGCACAAGTAACTTGTGCATGTTTTGCAGAGATATTGTAGAACAATTCTGAAGACATATAAAATGCTGCACATGTCCAAAACTGATGTTAAGGTGTATGTTTTTTTGTTGTATTTCCTCAATGATGATAGTGGGTTCCAGAAGTAAGTCACTTTTGCCAGGGGGTTCCTATATTCCTGATCGGTTGCAAAACAGACCTTCGAATGGACAAAGAACGTTTGAGAAGATTGAGAGCTGCTCAGCAAGAGCCAATCACATATAATGAGGTAGAGTGACTGAATTATGTCAGTACGATTGAAATGGAGTGTCAAACCAACTCTTCAAAATGGGAAGTTCTGCTTTTTGAAGAAATTGAAATTATCTTCAACTGAGCGCGAGAGACAGATATAATTATCAAATTTTTGCCTGCTTTTAATGCATTAAAATAACGAAAGAAATTATTACTGAGGACATGAATGTTCAAACTATGAATTTAGAATGATAGAATTTTACAGTACAGGAGGCCATAATCCATCATATTTGTACTTGTTCCTGAAAGAGCTAACCAGCTAGTCCCACTCTCCTGTTTTATCTCTGTAGCCCTCTAACTTCTTCACTTTCAAATATATATCCAGCTTTCTTTTGAAACCTCCAATGAAATCCACCTCCAACACTCTCCCAGGCAGTGCATTCCAAATCCTAACAACTCTGAGTGAAGAAGTTTTTCCTTATCTCACTCCTAGCTCACTTGTTGATAATCTTGAATTTGTCACATTTGGCATTTGTTCTGTTTCTCTTGCCCACTTTGTCTCCTATATTCAAGGTGTTGCCTTGTTAATGAGCTGTGCAGGTTATTATTTATGTTTGAGCCATATCATTGGAAAGCAGTTTGAATGCAAAGGAATCACTGAAAAGCCAGATCCTGTCCTTAGTCAACATCTACATGTGAATACTTCCAGAGACTTTGAGTGCATTGGAACATCATGGCCTTCAAATTCCCCTCCTGACTTAAACATATGTTGCCTTTCCTTCATTATCACAAGTTCACCACATGAACTGTCAAGAAGGTTGGCATGACATGGATGTGCCAGTGTTGGACCAGGGTGGGCATACTCAGAAGTCACATGACACCAGGTTACAGTCCAACAGGTTTATTTGAAATCGTAAGCTTTCGGAGCGCTGCTCCTTCTGCAGGTGAAGTGGAGGGAAGCATGGGCACAGAATGTATAGGTGGAGATATAATGGCAAGCTAATTCCAGGTAATTAAGAGTGTCAACAGATAAGTACTTATCTGAAGGACTGACAGGAATGGGAAATGAATGCCAAACCTGCAAGGAACAATCCTATATCGAAAATTAGTTTTTTGTTTACAATTCCCTCAATGCCAGGATTTTTTTTTGTCACTATAACTAATTCACATCAGCTAATTCTACAGCAACTGAGAGTTAAAATAGGACTTGAAAGGCAGATGAAAAATGTAGTTGCAGCACAATCTTTTGAGTGTTTAAAAATGATTGAAAATAATTTGTGATATGCAGAAGATAGGGTGGGGGGAGGGGTTCAGGTGGGGAATGAGCCTAAAGAGAGAGAACAGTTGGTCAGAAAAAGGAGTAGTGGATAACGATCTGGCTATGAAGGTAAATAGCTGTTAATGGAGACGGTTAGTGGCTAACAATAGGTAGTGTGTAATGGCAGACTGTGATAACAAGGCCTGGTGTGTGGGGTAGGGGCCTGGGACATGGAAGAGTTCAGGCCCTAAAATTATTGAATTTGATATTGAGTCTGCAGGGCTGTAGGGGCCCTGAGCAGAAAATCAATATCAAGTTCAAGAATTTCAGGGTCTGAACTCTCCCATGTTCCATCCCCCTACCCCACACACCAGGCCTTATCTCATTATTATTGAACTATCCAAACTCTCACTATCTATTTGCCAGGTGTTTGGGAAAATTTGTTTGGATCAAGAGCATCTTTTACTTAATATTCCTTTGTATAACTCTAGAACAGGATATATGTTCATAGCAAAGCTGGCTCTTTTCCCATTTTTCCATCATTGCCTTAAGACATAGCCATTACACACTACCTACTGTTAGCCACTAACAGTCTCCATTAATAGCTGTTCACCCTACTGGTGAGATCATCATTCACCACTCCTTGGAGCCTAAAGAGAGAGAACAGAGTGGTGGATAACGATCTCACCAGTGGGGTGAATTGATCCAAACAAATTTTCCCAAACACCTGGCAAATAGTGAGAGTTTGGATAGTTCAATAATAATCAATAAGGAAGTTGGATAGAGATGTCCAAAATTACAAAGGGGTCTAAACATAATAGTTGGAGAGAAACTGTCCCTATTGGTGGAAGGATCAAAGGGCACAGATGTAAAATGATTGGTTTAAAAAAAAACAAAGGCAACATGGGGAAATGTTTTCTAAAACACATTGAGTAATTATGATCAGGTATGCAGTGTCTGAAAGGGTGGTGGAGGCCAATTCAATTGAGACCTTCAAAAGAGGATGAGCTATGTTAATAATAAGTGATAAGGTACTTGATGGATTTCTGGGTTATGTGGCAAGGGGACTGGATTGGCTGGATTGCTTTTGTAGAGAGCCAACATAGCCTCGACAGGCCAAATGATTACTTTGTGCTGTAACCGTTCTGTTGGAGAGATGGTAAAACCCTCCTACATAGCTGTTCCCTTTTTTTTAAACTGAAAACTGGTCTCTCCTTTTCCATTCAGTTTTCCTGACTTGTAAGGATTAGTGATTACCCCAAAAGCTTGGCCTCTAGGCAAGTGCAGGATCACTGAACTGACAGTAAGCCGCAAAAAGAAACTGAAAGTAACATTGGAAACAGTAGAAACTGTTAAAAGGAAATGAGGAGAAAAACTGAGAAAGATCAAGAAAAATGGAGAAAGAAAATAGTAGGGCAATAAGAAAAAAGTAGAAGGTAGTTCTAAAAAAAAGTGAAACTTTAAGTGCACACATCCTTAACAAGTCACAAGACTGTCAACATTGAAAATGGAACCAGAGAAAGCATCATTTACATTTATATCTTAACATTTTTTTAAAAATGTAGCATAATACACTGTTGGATTTTTTTCAGAGTAAAGTCAATACCTTTTAACTATAGTCATTATTGGGATAGGGAAACATGGTTGCCAGTTTACACAAGCTACATGATAACCTCAGGTCTCTAGCAGGTTAGAACACAAGACCTTCTAACTTTAAGATAAAGGTACTACCACTGCGCCAAAGCTAACACTTAAAATAGTTTGCTGAGAGCACAAGTTTACTTTGTGGTTAATAACTAGTACTTTTAGACCAATGTTCCAGATCCTCCGCCTTCTTTAAAATTTCAAAATTCCAAAATCCACTAGCATTTATTTTTATTAATTCATGGAATGTGGGCATCACTGTCTGGGCCAGCAATTATTGCCCATCCTTATTTGCCTTTGAGAACATGGTGGTGAGCTGCCTTCCTGAACCACTGCGGTCTGTGTGAGGTAGGTACACTTAGTGGTTTTTGGGAGGGAAATCCAGGATTGTGACCCAGTGGCAAGGTAGTTCCAAGCCAGCATGGAGTGTGGCTTGGAGGCGATGGTGCTCTCATGCATCTGCTGGCCTTATCCTAGGTGGTAGAAATTGTGGGTTTGGATGCACTTTATAATCTATCATAACGTCTTAGTGCAAAGCTATTTCTTAACTTATTTTTCTCTACCCAAATTGTTCCCATCTGATTTACGTTTCAATTGTTTTAAACTTTGGTATACAAAGGAAGGTATGTTTCCTCATCATATTGAGCAATGTATGTCTCTGAAAGCACGGAAGAAGCATGGGCTCGATCAGGAAGCTAGAGTTGCAACCCTAGTCTTAAATTATATTGTTTCTTGATCGTTTTTACTACTGTGTTTTGACCAGCTCACCTGGTACTGAATTGGAGCATCTTATACGCATAGCAGGATCCATTCAGTCCATTATGCCCAAACTGGATTTTGAAGGAACTATCCAATTTGTACTACTCCCTTGGTCTGTCCCTATAGTCCTGTACTTTATTCCACTTCAAATATTCAATTCCCTTTGACATTGACTGTTGAATCTGTTTCCATGATCCTTTCAGGTAGGTCATTTCGATACGATAAGTCACTGTGTTGGGGTAGGAAATTTCTCAGGTGAGGAAGAGGAGTTGGCAATCCCCAGAAGAATGATACCTTTATTACAGAGCTACCTGAGATAAATCTACAACAAAGATCTCTCCACTGCAAGGCTGTAGGTGCGAGTTGAATGGCAACACAACTGAAAAGTGTGTGGAAAGGAGAGAGAGAAACAGTTTGCAGATTCTCATTTGTGTTGCTTTCAGGGTGAAGAGACTGCTCGCCAAATTAATGCGGTGATGTACTTGGAATGTTCAGCCAAATTCCGTGAGAACATAGAGGACATCTTCAGAGAAGCTTCAAGTGCAGCTTTAAATGCCATAAAGAAGAGAAAAAGCAAAAAGAGGAAGCAGAAGCAATGCTTGTTGCTTTGACAGTTGTTACCTAATGGAAGTTAATGGACATCAGTGTGCCAGACTGGAATGCATATACTGTATTATAATTAGTTCGTAGCTTTTAACAGATTTATGTGCAATTGTGATACATTCTCACTGAACTCGTTTTACTATAAGGGGAAAGTTATGTTGCCACACTCCAAGATACTTCAGGCTGGAAATGCATTGCTAAAGCACAAAATAAATCATCAGATACAAGAAGAGTAAAAGTCTTTAGTGTGTTACAGAAACAGGCACTTCATCCACATTAAAAATAACTCCATACAAAAAGGAAAAAATGTAAACACTGAACATTTGAAACAAAAATGATACATATATCAATGAAGTCACAGCATGTATGTAGGATGAAGCCAAGACAGCATTTTGAAAAGGTATATCTTCATGACTTAAGACGAGCTCTCATTGAAATGTTGACTTGATGCTGACATGCTGTTGTGTTTTTACAGCAAGTTTGATTCTTGTGTTTATGTCACTCAACATCACTTAAACATCACTGCTTCTGTTGGGTTTATTGCTTCATGTGTCTCATGCAACTTACTGTTGAATGCAAAATATGTTCAATGTTATTTTGTAAAATAATGTAAAATAGCAGCTGTTTCGGGTCAACCATGCTTTAAATTGTGATAAAAGTAAAAGTATAACCTGTCACTACAAGCAATGGCAGCTTAATGGCACTAAAGCACTTTCTTAAGTAATTATTTTCCACCTTTTTTTCTTCTGCTTCTGAACACATGGACTTAAATGAAGGATACAGTTTCACAAGTGCCTGTAGGAGGTTTGTCCAACACAAATTTAGGTCTGAATACAGTTAAGTGCAACTGGATAATTTTGTAAGGAGCAACATGTTTCTCCAATCAGAGGTTGTTTCTGAGACTAAATGAGACATAAAACACTCCTCCCCCTCTTTTAAAAAAAAAACATACCTAGGCTGAAAGGAAACCAATTTCCAGCCTCCATTTTCAACTGAGTTCTGATGAGGCCAGTTTGGAATGTGTCCCACCTGAAGTAAAGTAAGGTCAGTGTTAGTTAATCCTAACTCCTTCACTCAGTCCTGGACCCCTAGCCTTTTCCCTGGTGATCTGGACTTGAGGTACATCTTTTTCTCTCTTTAGTTCTGCTTCTTAACTGAAAAGGCAAAAAAAGGGTTTTATTAGTGGCTCTGCAGCTTTGCAACTTTGAATGGTCGTTTTATTGATTACTTATTTAAAATAGGAACGTATCATTTGAAATCTTTCCCCCCGCCCCCAAAATTCATTCATGTTTAGTGTTGAGCTAAAACTTCTCTTTCTGAAGTTGCCCTATCCCCACAGAATGGGTGATAAATTGAACTATGGCTTCCCCTCTCACAAAAAGTTACATGACTATGGTCCCAAACCTCAGATGGCTTTCTCAAATTTCTTTTGTTAAATATCCTAACCTTAAATAACAGCAGGCTATTCAATTTTATGGAGTTAAAATTGAACTCCACCCTCTCCTCTTCAGTTTCCAGTAGCTGTGAATATTTTCTGACATCCCCCACCCCTGGTTTCTGGATGCCAGTGACTGTACATTACCTCCTACCACTGCCAGCTGAAAACATTTACTTCCACACCAAAAGGGAAGTAAAACTAGGATCTTCTTATCTGCATCACTCAAGTCCACGGTGACGCAGCCTCTCGAAATGATCTATCAGGAAAGCTGCTAAAGCACTTTACAAAGCAGAAACATCACAGGAATAAGTTTTTGTTGAACATCTGCAAATCTTTTCTGCTTGTACTGCCTCGCTCAGAGAAATAAACAAATGCAAGGATGATCTTGGAGCCAGACACAGATGAATTATGCTTTTTCCCTAAGAAATAGAGGATGGGGCAGCACAGTAGTCAGCACTGCTGCCTCAGCGCTAGGGACCTGGGTTCAATTCCACCATCTGGCGACTGTGTGGAGTTGGCACGTTCTCCCTGTGTCTGTGTGGGTTTCCTCTGGGTGCTCTGCTTTCCTCCTATGGTCCAAAGATGTGCAGGGTAGTGGATTAGCCATGGGAAATGTAGGGTTACAGGGATACGGTTGGGGGGTGGGGGGATGCTCTTCAGAGGGTCAGTATGGACTTTGTGGGCCAGCTCACCTGCTCCCACACGGTAGGGATTCTATGATTCTAAGATCAAATGACCTTCTGTTAGGAAACAGACTGCTGATTTTATAAGACTAAACATCACATTCTGGAGAAATATCAATTTCTTTTTGATCTTCACATCCTTTCATAACCCAGTCACTATCTAACCTAAATTACTAGGCAGAAAGGGCTCCTGATTGCAGCATATTGTTGCAAAAGTTAAGTGCTTAATAAATGAGAGAACTTTTCTTTCCATTGGTTCAGGATAGCTGAAATGCTAGAAAACACTGACAGATGTCTGCAGCTGTCTGTCTATTCCCGCAGCCAGAACCCAAGCTGGCTTGTCCCGCATGATACAAAGATAGAAGATAGCATTATAATGATCTATTCACTGCATTTGCTATGATACATATATGGATTCCTTAAGTACTAGCAGGGTAGGAGTTTCTGTAGCACAACAATTGGTTCTTCAGAAGCGTTCTCTAGCTAAGCTTAAGCTAATATTACCTGGAGAAAATTGGCACAATGTAAAATGAGCTGTTGATTCAATATGACTTGTTTCTTGCTTTTGTGCAGACTAATTTCAGCCCTGAGCATATTTTCACAGATTGTTCTGTCACTTTTAATTTATTTTTAATGTTTCTGTCAATGTAAGGATGATGTTCAGTCAAAAATTGTACTGAACAGGTGAACTGGTAGAGGTAACAAGGTGTAGAGCTGGATGAACACAGCAGGCCAAGCAGCATCAGAGGAGCAGGAAAGCTGACGTTTCGGGTCGAGACCCTTCTCAATCTGGTAGTCTTTTTTTGTCTTAGATGTAGTTGTTGAGAATCAAACTTAAACTTTAGCAAACCAGTGTGGAAAACAGTATTTTAATGCATTATTTTAGACCGTTGACAGTGCTACATCCATCCTTTGTCACTGACAATTCTATAAAACTTTCTTATTTAAGTAACATATATTGTTTGCTTTTATTAATAGTATTACAACCTCCAGAGGAATTCAACACTGTTTGCATCTAGATTAAATCATTTTAATGTGTTCTCTGCATGAATTCACAAAACCATTAATAGCTGCTGGTACATATGAAAATCACTGATATAAAGTATCACTTTAAACATGGGTTGGAGGGAAGCAAGTAGTGTAGGACTGGAAGAGAGGTGCTCTTTTGGCACAGTGATAGTGTCCTTACCTTTGAGCCAGGAATGCTGGGTTCAAGCCTCACTGCTCCAGAGGTGTGTCAATATCTCTGAACAGGTTATAGAGTCATACACCATGGAAACAGACTCTTTGGTCCAACTCATCCATACCAACCAAGTTTCCCAAACTAAAATTAGTCCCACTTTCCTGCATTTAGCCCATATCCCACTAAACCTTTTCTATTCATGTACCTGTCCAAATGTCTTTTAAATGTAACTGTACCTGCATCTACAACAGAAAACTAGAATTCACACATTTTCTTTTGGGAATTGACAACAAGCTATTGGCCAGAATTTTATCAGCAATTTGGAGACAAATATAGAAAGCAGAATGGATGGTCAAATGGCCGATTTTCCTGTCAGTGTGGAGGATTACCAAAGGCATGATGTCACAATTGGTGAGAAATGGAAAGTGCAGCTCCCCTCGCTTGGACCAACCACTGTGATGCAGAGCAATGTAATGGCCAAGGCCAAAGTATGTCACTCTATTTAAGGCAGCAGATGGCAATCAGTGGCTGCATGGCTGCAACCAAGGAATGCACAGAGTCACATGAACATCACATTTGATCATCCACAAAGCTTGCCACGCTGGCCATGCAAGACACCATTGTAAAGTGAACTGTCAACACATTCATGCTGTCTCTGCCATTATAAGCAGTGTACTGAAGGGTCGCGCTGGTATCTCATACATTCTCTACTTCAGCTCAATGATAATCCAGCTCTGGGAGGGTATAACATCTGCGTCCAGCTGAGCCAAGTTTGGGAAGGACCGCATCAGACAAAATGGAATATCCGCTGCTCTCCCTGCCAACAGCATCTGCACTCGCTCACTAAAAGTGTGCGTCAACAGCTGGAAGCCCAACTATTTTAATTTGGAGTGCAAGTGTCTAAGCTGGCATATTACAAGTGTGAGTGATGTGGCACCCTCAAAAGGTAATAAACCTTTGAGGATTTGTCACCCATGATGCCTGTGGACACCTGCTGTACACGTGAAGGCTGTGGCAGAGAGAAAATATGAATTAATGCTGGATAGGTAAGAATAGTACAACCTATCATATAGATGATAATATTTTACCACCTGATAAGATTGCGTGAAAGTGACTGGATGCTGAATGATACGTGATCACTGATATTTACTTACAGGGAGGGCCCAGTTTCGGTATCTGCGATGGCCAATGCCACCAAAACACCACTGACAGCCACTTCCTCACTTGTAATCGAGAGCTGTATGACCTTTAGGATTCTGCCTCGAGCTCTCTGCTTCCTGTTTGTGCTCATTACTTGAAATTGGGTAAACAGCTTATGCATGATTGACTGTGATTAATAATATCTAGAACACTGGGGGTATTTTACCTGTGGGTTTGATACTCAAATTCAGCCTATTCATTGATAGGGCAGAAATTTGGGAAATAGTAGAGCATACAATGGGACAGGATCTCGAACTCATTTTGCCCCCAGGGATGTTTCCTAGGAAATCCTCCAGCTGCAAGATACATTGCCCATTGAACAGAGGATGATAACAAATTGGCACTATTTAGACAGCTCGTTGGCATTTTGCCCACTGTGGAGGAGCAACTGCCAGTTTGTGCAGGATATCAGATCTATAAATGTCATTGGGAAAATGTTAGAGTATGTGATAAAGGATGCTACAGCAGAGCATTTGGAAACGCCTAATATAATCAAGTAGAGTCAACATAGTTTCATGAAGGGGAAATCAATCTTGAACAATTTAGAGTTCTTTCAGGAGGTAACAAGTAGCTTAGATAAAGGCGAACCAGTAGATGAAATATATTTGGATTTCCAAATGGCATTGCCAAGTTTATTAATGACAAAAAAAGGTGAGAAAGCAACTAGTGAAGATGGCACAAAGAATCTAGATGGATATAGACAAGTTAAGCAAGTGGGCAAAATCTTGGCAGAGGGAATATAATGTGGGAAAATGTGAGGTTATGCACTTTGGTCAGACCAATAGGGGAAGTGAATATGTGTGAAACGTGGGAAACACTGTCAAAAGCTGCATGAGTGAGGAATTTGGGAGTCCTCATCCACAGATTGCAAAAAGGTAGCAAATAAGTTCAGCAGGAAATAGGGAAGGCAAATGGAATGTTGGCCTTTGTTTCAAAGGGAATTGAGTATTAAAAGTAGGGAACTCTTGCTAAAACTGTATGAAGTGCTAGTCAGACCTAAATTTTTTTTTCTTTATTCACTTGTGGGATGTGGGTGTTGCTGGTTGGCCAGCATTTATTGCCTATTCCCCTTGTTGTCCATGCAAGTGTGGTGCTGAGCTGCTTTCTTGAACCACTGCAGTCCATGTGCTGTAGGTAGACCCACAGTACTGTTGTGGAGGGACTTCCAGGATTTTGACCCAGCAACATTGAAGGAATAGCAGTATATTTCTAAGTCAGGATGGCAAGTAGTTTAGAGGGGAACTTGCAGGTGGTGATGTTCCTATGTATCTGCTGTCCTTGTCCTTCTAGATGGAAGTGACCGTGCGTTTGGAAGATGCTATCTAAGGATCTTTGATGAATTTCTGCTGTACATCTTGTCAATAGTACAGACTGCTGCTACTGCATCATTGGTGGAAGGAGTGGATGTTTGTGGGTTTGGTGCCAATCAAGTGGCCTGCTTTGTCCTGGATGGTGACAGGCAAGTAGAGAGTATTCTATCACACTCAACTCCTGACTTGTGCTTTGTAGATGGTGGACAAGTTTTGGGGTCTCAGGAGGTTACTCACTCACTGTAGTAGCCTCTGACCTGCTCTTGCAGCCAGTGTCTTTATATGGCGAGTCCAGTCGAGTTTCTGGTCAATGGTAACGTCCAGGCTGTTGACAGTGAGGGATTGAGTGATGATGACACCATTGAATGTCAAAGCTTGGTGGTTAGATTATCTCTTATTGGAGATGGTCATTGCCTGGCATTTGTGTGGTGCTAATGTTACTTGCCACTTGTCAGCCCAACTCAGATATTATCTAGAGCTTGTTGTATTTGAACATGGGCTGCTTTATTATCCGAGAAGTCATGAACGGAGCTGAACATTGTTCGTCGATGATTGCACATTACCACTCCTGACTTATGATGGAGGGGAGGTCATTGATGAAGCAGTTGAAGATGGTTGGATCTAGGACACTACCCTGAAGAACTCCTGCTGCAAAGTCCTGAAGCTGAGATGATTGACCTGCAACAACCACAACCATTTTCATATTGCCACCTATGACTCCAACCAGCAGAGTTTGCCCCCTGATTCCCAGTTTTGCTCAGGCTCCTTGATACTACACTCTATACGATCTGCCTTTAATGTCAAGGGCTGTCACTCTCATTTCAGTTTTGGTCCCTTTGTCTGAGGAAAGATATACTGGCATTTGAGGCAGAAGAAGAAAAGGTTCATGAGATTGGGCCTGTACTCATTGAAATTTCGAGGAATAAGAGACATTAAAACATACAAGATTCTGAGGAGGTTTGACAGGATAGATGCTGAGAAATTGCATCACCTTGTGGTAGAGTCGAGGACCAGAGCATAAATGAGCATTATACTATACTGAGTTTAAGACAGGTAATAATTAAACATTCACAGAAAATAAATTCCTCCTTAACAACCAGGAGGAACAAATTCCAAATACTTTGTGCAAATATTGGCCATTCAAGAAATTTCCACAATCCTTTTGAGTTTTTGCCAATCATATTGGTTAGCTTAGTTGGCTCAGCAGATGGCTTGCAACACAGAATAGTTAACAGAAGGGTTCAATTCCTGCAGCAGCTGAGTTGACCATGAAAGGATTCTCCTGTTCCCCTGTCTCAGGCATGGTGACCCTCACATTAAACTACCAGCAGTCATCTCTCTCTAATAAGAGAGCAGCCCTATGATCCAGTAGGGCTATGGTGACTTTACGTTTACCTGGAAGTTGTAAGCTGACCTATACCAGCCTCAGTGATTGAATAGAAATGAGATTGAAGGCCACTTAAATAAATATGGAGCAAGGTGTTGGTATTTGGAAGGTATTCTATAGGCTAACAAGTGTTTTGAGCATTATTGCTCCCAGAAAGACAGAAACAGGGGAGAAAAACAGAAGTATCTCCTGCCACTACATTGGTTCAGGAAGTGAAAATGCAGACAAACTATCTCCAGGAAAGTGAGCCACCTGTAGAAACATTGGGTACAGCACAGGAAAACTCTTCTGTTGAATCTGAGACATCTATGAGCAGAACTGTTAACACTGTTTCCAATTACCTATAGTGACTGCAATGAAAGTAGCATCTCCACTCTCCTCCTTTCTAGACATCAAATTGTTCACAAACATTTGTATTTCACACATGACTTCCATAACTACTACTTCTGAAATATTCAAGCTATTTTACAGTTCATTATGGTTATTACAGTAATTAAGGTAGAATAATTTTCCAAATTCTTATTTTTTAAAGAAATCCATAAGGATGTCAGAATTGTGGATTTCCACAAAGCATTTTTGCAATGTCTTGTGATTTCAAGAATGCTAAAAGACTCAGTAAAGCCTGATTTAATAGATCAAATTACACTTGGTGATTAGTCTGTCAAACTTTAGTTTCATATTGCACAATCTCACTGAAGTTAGCACAATAATAACATAGTTCCAATCAAAGAATGATGACTAATACCAAATAAAAGGCAAGCAATCTTTTTAATCTAAATAGGAATTTATTTTGGAAATAGTCCATAAAACACATGTGGAGTTCTCTATTGGTAGTTT